AATCTTAAATCTAGCTGACTTTGCTGATAGAAGTACATTTACCAAAGATCCTGAATTCAAAAGCTACTTTCAGCAGCTGGGAGTGGTTCTAAATTCTTGTCCAGTTGACTGATTGGAAACTGGACTCAATCACGGTCTACACAAAATTTTGGAGCTCATATTCGAATGGAATCTCCCACTGATTCAATGGAATCTCCCACTGATTCTGACTCTTGACTCTCCGCAAGAGTCAAAAATCTTCATGGGACCAACTGATTGGTTATGTTTAGAACATATGCTCACACCCTGTCCCAAGGGATTATCTGCTCCGTTTTAGCTTCTGCAGGGAGAGAATATTCTTTGTGATAATGTGGAAGGAGGAATTTTAAAACTTCAGAACACAAGAATAATGAAAATTATTGTGCCACCCATGTCCTCCACCTGTTCCCTATCTATGAAACCTAAAAGAGCCCAGAAGACACTTCCTATGCGAAGGCCTTGGAAATACATTGGTAAGTAGCACCCGTATCTCTGAAAAACACTTTATAGGTCAGGGATGCACTGAAATCAGGACGGCCATTTTAATTTCAAAAAGAATGGAAGAGACAAGCAGTGGCATTTATCTACCGGTGTGTGAGAAAGTAGGCAAATTATAAAAGAGGCAACAAGGCGAGAATGGTAATTAAAGTAGTCTGACTGCATGAATATATGCAGTAGCTAATTATTATGAAGTCTTTAGGATTAGAATAAGTTAGTAGTCTATGAACCTCTTTCAAACAAAACACGGAGCCAAAAGTCATATTGTTTCTCTAAAAGGAACCAGAAAGACAGTGCTACCACTAAAAACCTGATGAAGATTACCTATCATAGCCCCATTTAATTCTTCAGTAAGTAATGGTCTTGAAAACAAAGTTATGTCAGCTATTCCTTAGTCAAAATAATTAGGTCTGCAAAACCAAAGGTAAAAGTGAAAGGCATAATACAACTCATGATTACATATAGTTACCAACTTGCAAAACTATTATTTCATATTCCTAGGTTTACAGGCTTCAGAACCCAAGAGAAGAATGTCTCCACTAGTACTACAATTATTCTAACTGGAAACTGAGACTTCTTAACTACCCATTTTAAGTTCTATAAATCACTGAGAAAAAAGTATTCTACTAAAAAAAGAGTTCAATTGTCAGCCAAGATAAGTGATCTTATCACTTAGGTCAAAGGGGAACACCGGTAGGGATAACATACAAGTATAGTTGGAAACCAGGGTATCACTGGTGGTATCTCCTAGTATTACCAGGCCTAGCGGTTAAAAAAAAAAATCCATGACTACTAAGACTATGTATAGGAAAAACTACCGAGGGTGCAAACTCTACCAGGAAGAAGACTTAGACCCCCATCCCACTCTCCTCATCTTCCATCTTCTCCCCTGCCATAAAGAACCTTTCCAACTAAGTTACCTGCAGGCAAAGTAAATTGCAAGCAAACAAAAAGGGCAGATAATGGAAGAGGGATGTTATAAATACCAATTATGGCCTCTGGACCAGTGTAGAAAAATAAGAATGTCAATCCATATTTATATTTTGTACTTTCCTATGTCATGTAAAGTTAACAAATTTTAATTAACTTTTTTCTTTCTTCTCTATTTTTCCCGCTATTTTATGAAGGGTATGAGGGTGGTTAACTTTACAAATGAATCAATAGCCTTAAAGATACAAAAATAAAGGAGAATGGATACCATCCCAAAATTCAAGATTTGAAACCAGATGCAGTAATTCATAAGACCTGTGTTACAGCATTTCAAGAGAGAAAAATGTATTTTCATTTGTACAAGGAAAGCCCTAGGCAAGTAAGAATATTTTACTACATATAACAATGAGGAAAAGGTATGCATCGATGTTGAAGAGTCCATGTAGCAGACAATAATACATGCTATTTTTGATGAATTGATCCTATTTGGAAGGAAGTCCCAAGATCAGAGGAAATAAGATTTTACCTCTCCCTGCAGAAGCTAAAATAGAGCAGATAATACCTTGGGACAGGGCGTGAGCATGTGTCCTAAACACAGCCAATCAGTTGGTCCTATGCAGATTTTTGACTCTTGGGGAGTGAAGTAAAGATCGGCGAGAGATCCCATTAGAACACGAGCTCCAAAAAATTCATTTTATTAACTGCACCTAGAACAGTGCTACTCATATAGTAGATACTTAATAAGTATATTCTAAATGGATAAGAAAGATCACTGAGAAGTTGTTTTCAGCACTCACGGGGGAATCAAAAGTCCAGTGTCCAGTGGTAAAGTTAGGCACCGTGGTGTCTAGAGATGACAGTGTCAGCAGTGACACATGCAGCAGAGCATGAGCTGCAACCATGACTATCCTTCCTTTCTGGGTTCCTGACTAAGCCTGGTTCTTCATCCTGCCTAACAATTCTTTTAACATCCTAATAGCCTTCCAAGAAGTTACTCTCCTAATTAAAGTTAATCAAAGTTGATTTCTATGCCTTGTATTCAAGAATACCAGTCTGAGGGTATAATTAGGACAATTACACCATCAAGGATAGTAAATAATTCACTATACAGTAAGGTGCCACATAATGACATTTTGGTCAACATCAGACCACATAGACAACAGTGGTCCCTTAAGTTTAAAATGGAGTTGAAAAATTCCTATCATCTAGTGACAGTGTAGTCTTGTAATGCCTCACATTACTCATGTGTTTGTGGCAATGCAGATATAAAAAACCGACTACAGTCCTATAAATGTATAGCACACACAATTATATATAGTACATAATACTTGATAATGATAATCAATGACTATCTTACTGGTTTGCATATTTACTATACTATACATTTCAATGTTATTTTAGAGTACAGTCCTATTTATTTTCAAAAAATGTGAATTGTAAAATAGCCCCAGGCAGGTACCTCAGGAGACATTCCAGAAGGAAACAAAGGCTCCATGTGTATGTTAATGCCCCTTACCTGTGAGATAAGATGTGAAGGTGGAAGACAGTGATATTGATGGTCCTGACCTTGTATAGTGTTTGTGTCTGTGGCTTGTTTTCACAAAACAGTTATTCCAGTTTTTTTAACAAAAAAAAAAGTTAAAAAAATTAAAAGCTTATAAAGTAAAAAAGTTCCAGTAAGTTAAGGTTAATTTATTATTGAAGAAAAAAAATTTAGCCAGGCATGGTGGCTCACACCTATAATGCTAGCACTTTGGGAAGCTGAGGGCAGGAGGATCACTTGAGGCCAAGAGTTCGAGACCAGACTGGACAACATAGTGAGATCCCATCTCTACCAAAAAAAAATTTATAAACTTAGTGTAGTCTAAGTGTACAATGTTTATAAAGTCTATAGTAGTATACAGTAATATCCCAGGCTTTCACATTCACTCACTGATTTCTCCAGAGCAACTTCCAGTCCTATAAGCTCTATTCATGGTAAGTTCCCTACACAAGTGTACCATTTTTTATTTTTTACACCGCATCTTTATTGTACCCTTTCTGTGTTTAGATACACAAATACTTACCAGCATGTTACAAATGCCTATGGCATTTAGCAAAGTCACATGCTGTACAATGTGTAGCTTAGGAGCAATAGGCTGTACCATGTAGCCTAGGAATGCAGTAGGCTATACCATCTAGGTTTGCACACTCTGTGAGGTTCACACAACGGCACATTTCTCACAACATATCCCTGTCAATAAGTGACACATGACTATGTATATATATGTATGTGTATATATATGTGTATATATGTATGTACATATAATATATATAATATATATATATAAAACTTGTAGCAGACTAGTTAAGTAAACTGTAATGACAGACTTAAATTCAAAGCCAAAATATTTATTTCTTCCATTAACACATTAGATTAAACCAAATTAAACCATAGATGCTAGACCATTTTTATCAAAAAAATTTCAGATGGTTTGACCTAATATACCTAAAGTTGTGTTAAATGATATGGTGATATTTATTTTCCCCATCTGGCTGTTCAAACTGATTTTTAGAGGTTATCTTCAAAATCTTTACTAATTTGCCTAATATTTATGCTTAGGATTTAAAAACTACTAATAATTTCACAAAGTCTTTTTATACAGCACTGGCTGAGCCTTGCAGAATGTCAAACCCCTTAAGGATTATAGATAATAGAGAAGTTTGGGGAAAAACAGATACGCTCAATAAGAATTAGTTAGTATCACAGACATCTGTAACCAAAGGGCCAACTAATGTGACTCACATTCAGTCTTAATTTCAGTTCTGTTTATCTGAAAGTCCTCCCATCAAGTGGGCATTCATATTATTCTTAAAGTCATTAAGGAAGGAAAGCATGTAACTTTTCTAGTAACCAGTTCTAGTTACCAATACCTAGAAACTTGTTTTGAAGGGTATTTTTTTTTCTTGTATATTTGCTTATATCATACTTACTACATTTCTTTTTGCATCTGTGGAGTATTAAAGGTAGTTCCTTACCGAACAATATATATTAACTCTTCACATATTTAAAGGTAATTACTAATTTGGCCCTTAGCATTTCTCTTCATACTCAACCATCCTAATTTCTTTACTATTTCCTTAAGAGTCTATTTTCCAGTACTTTTCTCATAAACTGTGACTCTAGCGCAGATGTGCCAAATTTCCAAACTGCAGAAAGCAGTATATACTACAGGCAGATCCAACATTAATGAAGAGTCCGATTTGGGGGGTAGGTAAAAATGTGCCTTCAGAGTAGAAGATCAAAAAGCAATCAATGATTTGGAGTATGTAGTGGGAACTATTAAAATTAAATATCCACCCAATAATTTTAATATATGTGCAAGGCTAAAAGAAATATACCATGGAAAAAGAGATAAAAATAAGTTTGCTACTGTGTTTCTTTTTTTTTCTTAACCTATTGCCAAAGTCCTCTAAAAAGGATCCCGTGACAAATTATTAGATTTAAGTTGCCACAACACTTTCTAAAGTATTTTGTTAAGGATAAGGGACTTTCTTTTTTTTTTTTTTTTTACCTGAATGGCACTTCTTCCTGTGGAACATCCACATAGTAACGAATAAAAAATCTCTCTGAATCTTCTCGTTCACCATCAGTAACAACACTGCCATTAAGTTTGGAAACTGATGGCAACCTATAAATTAAAACCAAAATAAAAAACATTTTAAGATACTAAAATATTAAGCTTTGGAAAGAAAATAATTGGTTTGAAGCCCAGTCTTATTCTCTTGAAAGAAGACATCTGATATAGTTCTTCTGCTCATGTACAACTACTGACATGAACTAAAATGGTACAAAATGAAAGAACCAAAAAATGGTAGTTTCATTTTTGGATGTGACATCCATCTTTCATAATCATACATCACCTTTCAAAACAGGATTCTAGGCAGCACCGTCCAACTTACATAAATATAACAAAGTCATATATGTAATTTTGAGCTCTTTAATAGTGACATTTTAAAAAGTACAAGTTAAAAAAAGGTGAAATGAATGTTAATAATGTGGTCTAGTTAACTTAATATATCCAGAATATAATTTCAACATGTAATCAGTAGTAGGAAATAACCAATAGGCTATTTTACATTTTAAACTTATACAAAGTATTTGAAATTCAGTATCTATTTTACCCTCATAACATATTTCAATTCAGACAAGACATTTCAAGTACCATAGCCACACATGGCTAGTAGCTACCATATTAAACAGCAAAGTCTAGAGAGTAGTCAATACAATTGGGTTATATAATTTAGAATTAATTATATTTGCAAAAGAATTGAGTAAAGAAAATAAAGTGTGAGGGCTACTCCAATACTTACTCTTATTTAAGATTTTTAAAAGTATACTGATATTTATTTTTTCAGAGAGATAAATAATGTGTAAGTTAACAACTGCAAAGTAGTAAAGATTTGCTAAGCATTAGCAGGTCATAAAGATGAAGATTCTATTTAAAGAACTACTCTTCTTTAGGGAACCTAAGGCCTATTGTTCCCTTTTCAAAACTACTAGTAGAGTACACAAAGAGAAAAATAGCAGCTGGGCTTGGTGGCTCAGCCTGTAATCCCAGCGCTTTGGGAGGCTGAGGTGAGTGGACTGCCTGAGCCCACGGGTTCAAGACCCGCCTGGGCAACTTGGCAAGACCGCATCTCTATAATAAATCAAAAAATCAGCCAGGCGTGGTAACATGCACCTGTAGTTCCAGCTACTGGAAAGCTGAGGCAGAAGGATCACCAGAGCCCAGCAGGTCGAGGCTGCGGTGGTCGGGAGCAGCCACTGCACTCCAGTCTGGGTGACGGAGTGAGACTCCAACAAAAAAAAAAGAGAAAAAAAGTAAAGCTTCATAGCCCTTTTGTTTTAGCCCAAATCTTATTTCTGCTTAAAGTTTACACAAAAATAAATACTCATGGGACATTCCGATGAGTCTGTGGCAGCAAAGGGGATGACATGAAGGGCAGTGGGAGTCAAAAAAAAAAAGAAAATAACAATAATGTAGTCATTCAAGAAGAAAATATAGATGCTGCTCTCTTAAGTTTTATACTAATGAAATAGTCCAATTTTCAGGAATTTACACTTTAAATGACCAATATATTAGCAGAGAAAATAAGAGCAACTATGATATAAATGATTCCCTACCATACATACTTTTATTTTGTGACCCACATCAGGACTTCAAGTATTCTAAGTATTGAAAAACATAAAAACAGAATAGGTTTGTGAGGAAACATTTCAGTGGTCTAAGCAGCCCCATTATATTTTATGATTTTCTCATCACATTGCTTGCATTCCTTTTCATCCAGGATTTGGAGCTATAGAAGCAGCTCCTTCAAGCACAGTCTGCTCAAGAGATGGATAAACTCATACTGCACTCTCCCTAAAGAGTGTATTACCCCTTTAATGAAACAACACAGTGTCATGAAAAAGCAAAAGAAACAGAACAGACCTGGCTACTACCAATTTCCTTCGCTCCTCAGTGGTATATGGCTGCAGAAGAGGAATTCCCAACAATCTCACTTCTTCAAGCTTGGGAAATGAATTTAGTTTATCAATGTCTTCCCAGGACTGCAAACCTAATTTGAGAAATAGATTATTTATGTAAATCAAGGAAAGTGCACAAATAGGAAAATAAACATAGCAAAAATATTACTTCAATTAATAATTTCTGAAATGTTAAAATGAGCATAAATTAGATAAACTAGACAGTCTGAAATTTTTCTTTTTTCTTTTTTTTGATTTGGAGTCTCACTCCGTCACCCAGACTGGAGTGCAGTGGCACGCTCCCGGCCACTGCAGCCTCGACCTGCTGGGCTCTGGTGATCCTTCCACCTCAGCATTCGAAGTAGCTGGAACTACAGGTGCGTGCTACCACACCCAGCTAACTTTTTGATTTATTGTAGAGATGAGGTCTCGCCAAGTTGCCCGGGTGGGTCTTGAATCCACGAACTCAAACAGTCCACTCACCTCAGCCTCCCAAAGCACTGGGATTACAGGTTGAGCCACTGAGCCTGGCCTGAAATTTTTTTCTTTAACCAAAGAAACAGTGGAATACAATTAAACACTATAAAAACTTCCCCATAGCCTCTCTTATCTCTGTGCTCCCAGGGGTCAAGGAAAGGGAGCCTTATTCTCTAATGTCTTCTCATCAATGGATTCTATCCCAAGTGGCTTATAAAGAAGGTCACTGGTGATCTCAACAAGCAGAATGTATGCATAATTATATAATTTTTAAAAAGTGATTTGATCAACTCATTTCAAATACAGACTCACAGAACGTAACTTCTGACCAGAGTTGATACTGTCATACTCAAATTTTTACCTGACAAATTCTAGAAGGAGGCAAGGTCAATTAAAGCAGAAACTAAATACATCGGCCCCTTGATATCCATGGGGGACTGGTTCCAAGACCACCTGCAGATACCAAAATCTACAAATGCTCAAGTCCCTTATATGAAATGGCATAGTAGTTACCTATAATCTATGCATATCCTCCCGAATACTTTAAATTATCTCTACGTTACTTATAACACCTAATAGGGTGTAAAAGTTATGTAAATAGTCATTGTACTGTATTGTTTAGGGAATAATGAGAGGATAAAAAGGTCTGTACATGTTCAGTACAGACACAACCATCCTTTTTATCCCGAATATTTTCAATCTGCAGTTGGTTGAATCCAGACGCAGAAACCATGAATATGAAGAGCTGACTGTATTATCATTTTCATATTATTCTCATTAGGGTGACAGGGAACGACAGATCCAAAACTTAAAACAAACAAACAGAAACAAAAAACATGAACCACTGGATAAGGAGAATATGCAACCAATGAAGATTTTTTAAATCCTAAAATTAAACTCTCCTTATGGCTGTGAGCAAATGTATCATTCAAGTCAATACTAAACTTCTAAGTTAGATAGGTCTTCCAAGTAGGAAAAATATTCCTTTAATAATGAAGCCGGTCAATTTTATAACACATCAAATCTATTTCAGAGAACAACATGGTCCCTCTCATCCTATTTCTATCAACTGTCAGCAAAGAGCAATTTATGAGGATTCTGGTGCACAACTATCCCAAATCACAATAATTTTCCCCCTCAAAATGGCATTTCCATCTACAAGGAAGAATAGTTAACTCAAGGGGTATCAAGTTGTAAAATAAACAGCTTCCTTGTGCAAAATACTGGTTTTGAAAGCTTATTTCCCACTCCTATAGTGAATTAAACTAAGTTTATGTTTTTTCAGTTGTAAATTAGAGTTATTTTTAATCATGCAGTTGTTTTAAGAAACAGGTTGAACAACAATCTCAAAGGCATGAGAAAAAAGTCACAGACTAGGAGAACGTATTTGCAAAAAAAAAAAAAAATCTGATAAAGAATTCTTATCCAAATTATTCAAAGAACTCTTAAAACAACAAGGAAAAAAAATCCCAACTAAAAAATGGGCCAAAGACCTGAACAGATATCTCATCAAAGAAGATATACAGATGCAAATAAGCCTATGAAAAGATGTTCAACATCATATGTCATTAGAGAATTGCAAATTAAAGTGTGATACCACAACACACCTATTAGAATGGCCAAAATCCAAAACACTGGCAACACTAAATGCTGGAAGGATACAGAGCAAGACAAACTCTTAAACTGCTGACAGGTATGTAAAATGGTACAGCCTCTTTGGAAGATAGCTTAGAAGTTTCGTACAAAACTCAGTATAATCTTACCATATAATCCATCAATCACGTTCCTTGGTATGTACCCAAATGAATTAAAAATGTATGTCCACACAAAAACCTTCACACAAATGTTTACAGCAGCTTATTTAGAACTGCCCAAACTTGGAAGCAACCAGGATGCCCTTCAGTAGATGAATGGATAAAATAAAACATGATACACCAGAAAATGGAATACTATCCAGCACTCAAAAGAAATGAGTTATCAGGCCATGAAAAGAAAAGGATTTTAATGCATATCTCTAAGTAAAGGAAGTCAATGTGAAAAGACTATGACTGCAACTAGATGAGATTCTGGAAAAGGCAAAACTATGGAGTCAGTAAAAAGATAAGTGGTTGCCAGGATTACCAGAGATGATTAGGTGGAGCAGAAGATTTTAAGGACAGTGTAACTTCTGAATGACACTGCAAGGGTGGATACATATCATTGCACATTTGTCAAAATCCATAGAATGTACAACACCAAGAGTGGGCCCTAAGATAAACTATGGACCTTGATTGATAGCAATGTGCCAACACAAGTTTATTGATCGAAAAGGTACAAATATACCATTTTGCAGGATGTTGATAATGGGAGAGGTTTTATATATGTGGGAATGGGTGGTATATGGAAAAAAATCTCTGATCTTCTGTTCAATTTTGCTGTAAACCTAAAATTGCTCCAAACATAAAGTTTATCAATTAAAAAAAAGAAATATGCTAAATATATTCACTGCTGTAATGGACAGGATCACATGGCAATAAACTGACAGTCAATTATATCTACAGATACTAGAAAAGTGAGCATTTGAAAAAGCATACCAAGTTGGAATACATTAAACTAAGTCCAGATAAAATGGTCTAGTTTATAATTTTTTGTCTCTTTTAACTCTGTCATTTAGTGATCAATTCATCAGTTTAATTTCACTCTTTTTATAGCATGATCTCTGTAATGTATAAGACATAAATTGTTATTATCATGAATGCTATGTCTCTTAATATTTATCAGAGTATTTATGAAAATAAGTGTTAAATTTAGCCAATCAATCGGCATCTGCATGTCATGTTGAAAATTCACCCTGTATAAAGAGATACAGCTATGACTTAAAGAAATATACTTCATTGTATTCCATGCATAAACTCAGATCAATTTGCATGTAGGATGAGAACAATCCTGAACCTCACCTGACTTGTGGAGGCTGATGGATCGAAGATTTGGAAACAACCTGGCTAATGAATCACCAGGCTCCTCAATAGCATTCAGATGATTGTTGGCCAGGACGAGGGTATCCAGTGAAGGAAACATAACTCCTAACTTTCGTATTTCAGTCCAGTCTTGGAGGTTATTATCTGTTATATGTAGTAGCTTAAGAGAATGACAGCAAATAGAAGGACAAGACACTGTTTCATAGTCATTAAGGCACAGGAAGAGCTCCTCCAAACTGCAGAGAAAAAAGGAAATATTTCATTGTTTAAGGCAGTTTAATTTCTACTTGACACCTATTTGCAATCATTTAGTAAGTAAATAAGTGCTTACTACATATAAGACTCTGCTAGGAACTGTAGAGAAAATACAGAGTTGTCTTTCTGAAGTTCAAAATATGACTGAGAATATAAAACCTAAAGTAATGAAACAGCAGAGAATGATATAAGGTGGTACCAAATTAATTTTGTGCTTAAATCATTAAGTACTAAGTTAATCAGTATTAACTGTAAGTACAGTAGTAGTTCATATAGTAATAAAATTGAAATTGTAGTTAGAAAGAATGCATGGCCTTGAAGAATGAGTAGAGTTCTATAAGTTGGAAGAAGATAGAAGAAAATTCTAGAAACAACATGAACAAACGTTTAGAAGTAGAATAACAACTATCACTGACTGAATCCTTAGTTTGTGGTAGGTCCTGTGCCAGGTACATTATGGATTTTACTCCTATTCTGTAAAATAAATGCAAGTATGCTCATTTTACAGACAAGGAAATCAAGCTCAAAAAGGTTAAGCAGCTTATCAAAGGTCATGTGGTTAGTAGGTGGAACTGGCATTTAAAAGTTCATTCTATGCCATGCTGGGTATTGCATGCAGTGAGAAAACCAATCTCATTAGAATGAGAGTCAGAAATAAAGATGGAGTAAATAGGGTGAGACAAGATTCTGAAGGGCTTTGATAATTTCCATTTTCTTTTAGACAAAGACACTATAGCTTCACATATTTCTTTAAACTATTCCTTTGCACCCTTATGTCTATATACAAAGATAGATACTATAGGCAAAACATAGTAAAGCATTTCTAAACTGATAAGCAAAAGTATAATTTCTTTCTTAAATTATTGAAAACAATACCAGATCCATTTTCCCATCAGGCCAGCTAGGCACTTAATTATCTGAATGTTAACATATTTTAGAGATACTTTAACTTTATTCCTCCCAAAGAAAAGGGTTGGGACTAAATTCTTATATCAGGTAATCAGAAGATTAAAATGGAGTAAGGCTGAGTTGATCTAGAAGTGATATGTGCTTCTCAGGGATATTTTCTAGCCCAAGGATGACATATCCCATGTCTTGGTGCTACTCAACACTGAACACATATTCCACTGGACATGTTACTAGATTACCCTCACACCCTCATTCTAACGACTTCATTGCTCTAACTTCTTTCTCCACTCAATCTGCAGTTCTAGTATTTCTGAGATGCAGTAATCCTGTGTACTAACAAAGATGGCAACATGGCTCCCTTGCCATCATGCTCTCTGGGCTTACTCTGGCAACTCCTGCAGTATCGTGTGGACTGTCTCCCAAGAAGCTTTGCTGTTGTTGAGGACAAGTTTGCGAACCCCAGAGAAGGACCCAGCACATGTTCTTTCTAAAACCGACAAATTCAGAGGATTGGAACTCAGGTTTAGAAACTCCAACTGGGGAACATTTGACACAATTTTACTGACCTAGGGAGAAAAAAAAGAAAAGCATTATCAGGCAGTAATCAGAGCTTTTAAATAGAAATCATGTGCAAGAAAGCCTAAAGAAGATCTCCAGGTAAAGGGCCATTTACATTAAGGAGTCCTATTTAGTGACGGTAGTCACAGAGGGGCATAAATAATTTCAACAAGTCTTGGCCAATAATGGAATCTTTCTAAGAAATAGTGGCATAACAGACTGGGACATAACATAACTTAATGGTACGAAAGAAAGATTTCCTATGTTACCTTTAGAAAGGTTTTTGATTCTGCTCTATGTAATGTTGTGTTTGATAAATGAAGAAATGATAGCTTAGATGACAATTTACACTAACTTTTTAAAAGAGTGAAGTTGTGTCAAGTAATTCTCTTTGAATATCTCCTTCTTCTCATTCTCAGCACATTTAGGTAAATTAAAAGTTTATGAAAAATCACCCGGTAACAATGTGTTCAAATTGACTGCATGGTCACAATCACTTAAAAAACTGTTTCAATTTGGTTTAAAGATGTTCCAAACTTTATATGAAGCAGTATCTCAACCCTGGCCATCCATCAGAATCATTGGTAGAATTTAAAAATACATTGAGATTTCCCAAGTTCTGCCATAACTACTGAATCAGAAGCTTCATAGGTGGGGCAAGCTTCAGGGTTGGGACCTGAAGATCCTTCTTTTCAGAGTCCCAGAGGTAATGCCAAAAGTGTATCTAGGAGGGAGAACCATGGGTAGAAAGAAAAAGTATCCTGCATATTAGATCAAATTTACTGTGAACATTCAGTTCAGGAGCTCTAAAATCAGTAAGAAGTAGATTAATTTAAAGAACTTTCAGAGGAATCTATCAGAGAAAAAGGTCCTTACAGTCACGATTTCACTATACCACATACTAACCCTTTAAAGTGGGTAGCACTTTTATCCTCATTTTACAAATGAATTAGCTACCTTTTAGAGAAAATACTCCGGGCTTCTTTTTTAAGCTTAAGAAATTTATACCAATCTGCACATATTCTCCTGCTTGGTTCCATGTGCAATCAAGGGTACCAAACATTTGTACAATATATGACTAGAATTTCAAGTTTAGTCTGTGACTAAAACACAGTTAAGTAGTTTATGCAGGGACCAGCCCTATTCTGCATTCTACAACTTGAATACTAATTCTATGAAGAACTTTCATACAGATCATGACCAGACATACTTAACTTCTTTTAAAAGGGGCGGGCTCAGGCCTGTGATCACAGCTCTGGGAGGTTGAGGTGGGAGGACTACTTGAGGCCAGGAGTTTGAGATCAGCCTGGGCAACACAGCAAGACCCTGTCTCTATGAAAAATAAAAATTAGCTGGGCATGGTGGTGTATGCTTATAGTCCCAGCTCTTCAGGAGACTAAGATGGGAGGATCACTTGAACCCAGGAGTTTAAAGCTACAGTGAACTATGATTACAGTAGTGAGAATCTGCCTCACTACTGCAATAGTAAGGGTACCTGCATAATGAGCATTTGTATACCTAACCCTGAACTGTACCCTACATCTTTAAAATAGAAAAATTAAAAGAGAAAAAATAATAAAATAATAATAAATTAATTAATAAAGTAAGGGACTGTTCCAACTAAAGCATGAAGAAAAACTGTTAATTATAGTATAATCTCAGTTAAATAAAAATAAAACATAACTCTTTGCTAAACTACTACAACCCATATTTCATTTTTATAATTCAAAGGAAAATACTTTTTGAAAATGGATAATTTAAGGGTTTTGAGGCAATTTCTGGGAGATTTCCCAAGGCTAGCAGAAACATGATGTTATCATCACAGTCTGCATCTACACTACCGTAGAGTGAGAATAAAGATTTAGAATGGGCCGGGCTTGGTGGCTCAGCCTATAATCCCAGCACTTTGGGAGGCCGAGGTGAGTGGATTGCCTGAGCCCGCGGGTTCAAGACCCACCTGGGCAACTTGGAGAGACCTCATCTCTACAGTAAAGCAAAAATTAGCCAGGCATGGTAGCGCGCACCTGTAGTTCCAGCTACTTGGAAGGCTGAGGCGGAAGGATCGCCAGAGCCCAGCAGGTTGAGGCTGCAGTGGCCAGGAGTGGCTACTGCACTCTAGTCTGAGTGACTGAGTGAGACTCCAACTCAAAAAAAAAAAAACAAAAACAAGTATTTAGAATGATGACTTGTTAACCCTGAGATTTCCCAAAAGATAAAACTGGACTAGAAGCAGACAAAATAATAAATGTTAGAAATAAACAAACATATTCTTTAAAGGGCTGAAATAAAAAAATTTGGGGGGGTAACTTCAAATTAATGAGTCAGAAAAATAAAAAATTCATTACACTGATAAATTTTTCCCAAGAGCAAAAGCTGGCAAACATTCCATGAGTTTTTAGGGGAGTATACTGACTTCCATTTTTAAAATTCTGAAAATAAAAAAGACTCCTCCAGCTAGAATGAGCTGAGTATGCGCACGTACAAAAACATGGAGATGAACTCAGGTCACCTTTTAGGTTTACACAATTCTATTATTTAATAGCAGACCCTCACTCTGGCTTCTAAAAAGGAATAAACTAAAGATTTAAGCAAAATGAGGAAAGGTTTTTAAGATAAAAGTCTGTAATCTATACCAAGCTATTCTCACCTGAGTAGTAATTCCTCCCTCCTCTCAACTACTTGGTTTAATTTCTTGTATAAAATAGTTTTGATAAGGAAGGGAAGGAAAAAAAGATACCTCAGGAAAGGTCAGACAAAAATCTACTCAGCCAAAAATTCAAGTCAAAGGCTAAAAAATGCATTATTTTTACACATAGGAGGAGATCAATTTAGAAGGATGGAGACAAATCTTTGCCTCCCCCAAAAGTATTACTTTTCTCACTCGTATTTATCTTAATCTCCAAATATATAGCAGTCAGTAGTTTAAGCTACAAAAGAAGTTACTCATAACCTGTAATATCAGTGACCATTCAAAAAACTAAAAAAACAAAGTATATTGTTCTCTTCCACAATGCTCTACCAATACTGACTGAAATAAACTTATTTAATGGCTAGGGATTATCTTTTTTGGTAATCAGATATATAATGGTTGAAATGTAATGTCTTAAAACCGGTGATCTACGTAGCCTGGCAAAGAGTTTAATCAATCCTAAAAATCAACATTCTTCAGCTGTCAGTATTTCCCCCAGCTCTCTTTGTGCTGATATATCCTTAAAAAAAGACTGAGATCAACTACAATTAAGGATAAGGAGGAAGTATAAAGGAATGATGAAAACAAGAATAAACTGGAAAATGAAAACCTGAAAGTAGCAACAAATATTTACTTGAAAACTACAAGAAAACAGACTATTGAGCACATATAGGAATATACAAACTGAGTAGAAACAGGGTAAAATAAATATAGGACCCTTTGGTTATATGTCAATGTGGTTTGAGAAAAATTTCATACAGACCTTTGTCTAAGTAAACACTGAATCAGTGTAAATTGCATTGACCCAGATTACATACACCTTTCTTCGAGGTAGCAACAACATCACTATTAAACTGTTTCTACCAGTTAGCAAAAGCTTATGCACATAGTCAAAGCATAAAAACTTTGTTAAATTTTATACTCCCAAAGAAAGAAATTTAGGGGACATAGCATGTGAACATAGGAGCTGAAATGATTCACAGGAATTTTATAACTTGTCACTCATTCAGGCCACAAATCTCACCAGAGGTTTAGTAGCAGGACTGAACCTCTAGTGAGATTGGGAGAATTGCAGAGGAGAAAGGATTAACAATACAGTTCTCTTTGCAATTTGTGTAGTGAGGACAAAACACACACAGCTATTAAGTGCTACAGAGGATCAAGAAGGCACGGACTGTAATTTGTTAAACAATGAACTATACTAGTTGTTCAGATAAGTAAATAAAATAAATACAGGTACAAATCGACGTCATCTGCATATATTAATAAACCACATAGAAACCAGGTGACATGCAACTCAAAGTATTTTGGTAAAAACTCTAAAACAGAAACTAACCAAGAGCACAGTTACCAGATTAAACAAGACTATCAAATAGATAAATATAAGCTCAATAAAACTAGTTTATAGATTTTTCTTAAAGAAGAACAATGTCTTAGAATTTGTATAGCATTCAATATCTTCTAAATGTTTCAATGATTAATTTTATCAGCAAGCCTGTCTTATGGATGAGCAAACTAAAGCACTAAAGGATAAAGTGAACATCTTAAGATCACAGGAGAAGTTGGAACACGTGGTCTGATCAATCCTTAAGCTATAATCATTTATTCATTAACACACTCAACAAACATTTGACTGCCTAGTATGCTGGGCCCTAATGATAAACAAGATGAAAATGTCCACTTTGAATAGCCTAGTAAGAAAACTGTCAAGTAAGCAAGTGATTACACTACACTGTGATAAATCCTTTCACAACAGCATAGTGCAGGTACTCTGGGATACTCTGGCTCTGTCTGAGAGCCAGGGAAAATTTCAGAGGAATACAACTTGGGCCAAATCTTGAAGGATAAATAGGAAGTGGTCAGGCAGACAAGGGGGAGAAAGAGAGCAGTGAGTTCAGAATAAATAAAAGGAAATGTTTCATGTTAAGAGTTCATCACAAGCTGCAAGTAAAAGTATATGGATAAGATGGAGATAAGGCTCTAGAAATAGCAAAGGGCCATATGATGAGGAGCCATGCTTAAAGTGTTCAGACCTTAGTTTCCAGTCAATGAAAAGCAACTGAAGGACTTCAAGCAGGAGAGCGTCATAATCATGTTCCATTTATTAAAAGGAGTCTGTGGCAGCACTGTGGAAGACAGCTTAGAGGAAGCAGGATAAGGTCAGATCTAGGAAAACCCATTAAGAAACTTTTCCAATAATCAAAGTGAAAACTAAGTACCTATATTAAGGTAGGAGAATGAACCATTAGGGAGAACTACTTTTTCCTATTCTTCAGGGTAGCTTCTATCAGGTAGGTAATGTTATATAGAATAATAAAAGAGAATGTTAAAATACTGTTGTTTGTTACTTAGTTTAGAGTTACTTTGAGGTCAAGAAACATCAGTTATGTCAAACCACCAAAGAGACTTGATAATATAAAAAGTTCTGGGCAACCCCATCACGTCCCCTCCCACTGTGGGAACTTTTCTGTCCTCTCAATAAATCCTACTTTCAAAATAAAAAGGTATAAAATATTTGGAATAAATTTTAATAGCATGTATATATTTGTAATTTTAGATTTAAGCTCTGGTAATCTTATATCAATTTATAGTGATGAATATTGAAGTAGAAGTAGAGGATGAGCATAAAATATAAATTAGTGAAACAATAGAGCATTTAATACACTGTTAATTTAATCCTCTGTAGACTCATTAACCTCTTGATGCCTGGAATAAAGTTCCTTAGTATTTTTCACATTAAGAGACAAATTTGCAAAACAAATTTAACTAAAAAATCATCATGTATAGTGAATGCAGTCAGTTGCTTACCTTGAGACATACAGACAACAAGAATCTCAAGTGAGAACAGAATTTAGCAGAGTATATGATAACACAAACAATGATACAATGGTTATTACCACCTTTCACCAAAATTCAGCAATATAAAAACTTTACCTCATGCCAGTCTTCAAGTTTGTTGTCAGAAAGATCTAGTTCCGACACATGAGCGCAGAAGGCAGCAATTTCTTTTTCATCTCCTGCACAGGTTATTCCACAGCCGTTCAACACCAGTACACTTGGGAGGTTGAGGCGATCTGAATGCCAGGGGACACAAAATACTTCGGCTCAATATAAACTACCTTGTATTATATCATTGTAAATGTGAATGTCTTGTAATCCAATTAGGCTATAAAGTCCTTGAGGGCACAGGCCAATCTTGTACTTTTTGTACCTCCCAAGCTCCATGAAAGAATATGCAATTTGATATATTATCACTCAAATATTATACTTGCCCTATGAGTGCAACTAAAGCCATTTGGTCAATCTGGAAAAATAGTCCTGTATGGTTCTTTAAAAAAATTGAAACCCCAGTAGGGGAAAGATTATTTGACTCATAATTCAAAACAAAGGAAATCATTTGCAAACAAGTCAATATTGTGATTTAGCTTCCTAGGTAAGCTCCAGTACATGAGTGTTTTAGATGCCATCTCTCTTACCTTTCATAGGAGAGCCCTGAGGTGTGGCTGGGACATGGACTCCCATCCCAGGACCACGGCGGTAAGGAAAATTTTCAGGACTATACTTTTCACATAACACTTGCATAAAACTTCTTCCACTAGGTTGATCCATCTTTCTTTCTTAAAATGCTACAAGAAACCAAGAAGCCATCAAAATTACTTATTTACTTATATATGAAGTATTTATGAAAACCAATTATCCATAAGGCCCTAAACTAGGCACTGCAATACATTGCCCCAGAAACTTATACTGTGGTAAACCCTTAGAATGTAGGGAAACTATATATGCAGACAAATGACAGCAATAACAGTTCAACACATGACATTTGCAATACAGATAAAAAGTATTATACGATTTAGAAGAGGCGATCACTTCCAACCAAGGACAACAAGAAGGCTTTTGGTTGGTACACAGGGTTCATGTGGTTAAGTAATTGGGAAAAGGTCTGAAAAAGAAGGTATAGATCGAACATCATGCTAAATAGTTTGGATGGATCCTCTAATATCTGCCCCTCAAAATCCATTCTCTTCTTCCACAGTGAAACACCTTCAACTTATATATGGCTACTTATATTTAGGAATGAGTACTAAATAAATTTCAGCTGATGGAATAGAAACCAAGGATTCTGTGGCAGCTTCTAGGAATCATCCTTAAAGGATAGTCCCAGTGTGCCATTTGTTTTCCATCTTTGTTGTCTTCCTCCCTCTGTTGCCTAGGAAACTGATGCCACTGAACAATGAACCCAAGGAACAGACCCTAAGGAAGGTGAAGAAAATTGCCGAACGGGGCCCGGGTCCCTAGGACTTCATGGAACTGAGCAGCCAGACTAGTATTTACCTCTGGAAGTTTCAGTAACAGAAAAATTACCTATTTTATTGAAGCCACTGTTCTTTCCAATTTTTCAGTGACTTACAAATGAACCTAATCTTAACTAATAGAGAATGTCATTTCTTTTGGTTTTGAGTTTGGGTACAGTCTTTTCTGTTTAATCTCAGCTAACTGTCAGAACATTCAATAACTTCGGCATCTTCTCAGTATTCACGCATGTGTTAAAACAGGAAATATTCAACAACATGTTAATTTCTGACAGCTGGATAACCCATTATTTTACTGGACTAGCCAATGCTCTGTATTATCAAAATACAGGCAACTATAGTTGACCTCTATAATTTCAATAATCAGGTATCAGCTATTTTATTTTATTAAAATAATCGGAGGAAAAAGGGAAGAGGATATAGAGTACTCAAAGAAGAAGGGATATCATGAAAAAAAGGTACAGCAATGAGAATGTATAATGGTATGTATGAATAAGCATAAGCGATCTGGTATTGCCAAAGCAGCATGACAATGGTAGACATTGTCAGGAGTATCTAAATAGGAACCTCAGATCTTGTATGCCATACTAGAAGGCTAAACTTTATCCTATAGGAAACAGGAAAAACTAAAAGGTTTTGTTAAAGAAAGGAAAACAATGATCAATTTTGGGGGAAAACTCACTCTGGCAATTATGTAGCTGATGAATATGAGGGGAAAAAGATTGAAGGCTGAGAGAAGAGTTATGAAGACATTGCAAAAATACAGGAGAGGGACACTGAAAACCTGGAGTGATACAGTAGTAGAATAAATAGAAATCAGTGACATATTCAAAATCACTTTAGAAAGCAAGTTTTTCAGAAATTACAGGGGCTGAGGGAGAAGGGTGGAGTCAAGACTGACTCTCAGGTTTCTAGTACAGGTGACCAGGTGACTAGCAAGAAAATATGAACAGGGCCAGTTTTAAGGGAAAATAATGAATCCTACTTCATACATGTTCAATTTGAGGCACCTGCAGAATATCCAGAGAAACAAGCTGAAGTCAGGTGAGAAAGCTAAGCTAAAGATGAAGGCCTTGGCTGGGCTCAAAGGCTCAGCCTGTCATCCTAGCACTTTGGGAAGCCAAGGTGAGTGGATTGCTTGAGCCCGCTGGTTCGAGACCAGCCCGGGCAACTTGGTGAGAACTCGTCTCTACAATAAAACAAAAATTATCCAGGAGTGATAGCATGTACCCATAGTTCCGGCTACTTGGAAGGCTGAAGCAGAAGGATCGCCGGAGCCCTGCAGGTCGATGCTGGGGTGGCCGTAAGCATGCCTCTGCATTCCAGCCTGGGCAACGGAGTGGAACTCCAACTCAAAAATAAATAAATAAACAAATAAATAAATAAGGAGATACGAACATAATCAGGATACTGAAGATGTTAAGAACTAACAACAGTAGGACAACAGGTCACTGATATTTAAGGGATAGGCAGAGGAAGCAGAGTCATGAAGAAAAAAGAAGAGAAACAACCAGCAAATAGAGTACATAGTCCACATTTTGAGTTTTGCTGAGAGTAGAGAAGAAGGAAGGGATGATAAGCTAGGCAGGAACAAAAGAGAACAGGGAATCAGAGACAACTGTCAAGAATTTTTTTCTCTTAAAATAGAAGATACCTGAACATGCTTATAGAGTATAAGAAAGAAGTCCTAGAGCTGAAGAGGTTGAAAATCTCTACTAGGACTTTGTCCTAGAAGAAACTGACAGGAATGAGCATTGAAAAGCTTCTGGGCAACATGGTGAGACCTAGCCAGGTTCAGTGGCTCAGCCTGTAATCTCGCGCTTTGGGAGGCTGAGGTGAGTGGATTGCCTGAGCCCGCGGGTTCAAGACCTGCCTGCGCAACTTGGCAAGCCCTCATCTCTACAATAATTCAAAAAATTAGCCGGGCGTGGTAGTACACGTCTATAGTTCCAGCTACTTGGAAGGCTGAGGTGGAAGGATTGCCGGAGCCCAGCAGGTCAAGGCTGCAGTGGCCAGGAGCAGCCACTGCATTCCAGTCTGGGCGACAGAGTGAGATTCCAACTCAAAAAAAAAAAAAGTAATAAAAAAAAAACATAGTGAGACCTTATCTCTACAATAAATCAAAAAATTAGCCAGGCATGGTAGCGAGCGCCTGTAATTCCAGTTACTTGGAAGGAGCCAAGTAGGTCAACGCTGGGGTGGCGTGAGCATGCCACTGCACTACAGCCTGGGCAACAGGGTGAAGACTCCAACTCAAAAAAAAGAAAAGAAAAGAAAAGCTTCTCAGAAGGCTGTTTGATACTAGCTTGATTCCAACTGTTTACCACTGGTAGGGACATATTTACTTCACTATAGTTGCACTAGTTTACTTTTGCTTATAGAGTTTAATTATAACGAACATTAGGTACTTTTCTTATGTGATTATCCTATCTCTGTTGTTAAATTGTAAAGAGGGTGGAATTGTGCAATTCTATTTCTTTCGATATCAATGTATAGCATCAGGCATAGTGTATTATACAAGGTAAGGGCTTGATAGATGTTGCTGAGCATTAAAATCACTAGCCTCCAGGATGCTGAGTAGAAAGGGTAAAGAATTCAGGATAGAGAACAGTTTTAAGTCCCACCCAGTTCTGACTACTTAATAGCTTTGTGCCTTCAGGAAAGTCACTGTATTTCTCTGGGACTCAAATGTCTTCATCTATAAAATAAGATATTAACATCTATACTACTTGAAGTACAGGGTTACTGGAAAGTCCTAAAATATACAAATGTACTACTTTGTTTACAAAGCTTTTGTAACACTCTAAAATATAGAAATGTTAATATAAGAGGAAGTTGTAGTAAGTAGAAAGTACACAGACATAGAAAACTTAGCCTCTCATAAGCTGGGTAAAATGTAAGACAGTTACTTAATCTCTCTCTAATTTTCTCACCTATGTATGGTCTGAACTTTCCTCTCAGGTTTGTAATAGGAATTTGAAAAAAGTATGAATATAAAAGTGGTCATTAAACTTGGCTCATTTCCTAGATTACTACTAGGATCATGTCTACTTTGTGAAAACAATTTACAGATGACTAGAACACTGCAGAAGCTCACTGAGCACATGCCCATCCACTGAACAACAGTTTTGTCTATACAGTCTACCAAAGTGTGCATATAAATGGAATATATTTCATAATGAATATATCACAAGTCACCTTGAATATACAGGACTGCCCTCTGTTCAAGGTTCTCATTTGTAAGCTTGAGGATAGAGCATGTTTTAGTACAAGACAGTTTGTTCTTTCTACCCACACTAAGTAGTGTCTGCATAGCTGCTGCCCTCCATTTCAATCCTGACTGTGTCAAAACTGAACTGTGTGTTCATCTAGGGCTTCAGGACCTTTGGGCTGAAAGATCCTTTTTCAGTGTAAACTTCTCACTGCCAACAGCAGATAACATAGAGAAGATGCTATGCCACTACCAACAGGCACCATACCTCCTGTCAAAGACCTGTTTCAAACAGAATACCAATAGAATTTCTGAAAATGCTTAACAAAAAAAGTCAAAGGAGTTTCATTGCTATCTTCCATATAATCAGCAGTTCAAAAGAATAAGACGTGTGTGGGAAGGGTGAGCTGTCACTGTCAAAATAATGCTCACCAAGTTTAAGCAGCAGCTTTCATCTGGAGGCTTCGGAACCACTTAAACTCAAACTTCTACAATTCAAGGGCAATAATCTTATACATAATTTAAATACAGACAAAACAAAAGATGGTAAGATTAAAGGCATATCCAAGTGAAGATAAGTCCTAGTTAACAAGCAAACATGGGAACCTAAGTGTTTTTCCTCATGGCCCCATGTTTTAATAATTATTTCAACTAGTCAGGATTTTTTTTTTTTAATTCTTTTTTTTTTTTTTAAGACTGAAAAGCAATACCAGGCGCCTTCACTGATCATTTTCCAGGATACTCTACTGGACCAGCTTTCCAGGAATGCAGATGGTGTGCACATTAATACATGCGTTTTGAATTAGAACATTAAGATTGCAAAATGGATTGGTAACATAAATCTACTCAAAATCTGCTGGGGAAGTTTGAGAAGGAACAGTAGGTGGGAAAGGAAGGCTGAAAACCAAATAGACTTAAAAATGAGGAAATGCAGGATGGAAAAAGATCTTTGGAACCTTTTAAAAGGTTTTGAGGGTGGGAGGGTAATCTATGACATTCTGGAAATAACAAGCGTCAAATTACATCAGACTACTTCTATAGTTGGCAGAGTTCTAATGCATTTGTAAAACTGTTCTGAATTGGTGGTGAAAGCCAGGGAGCC